CCCTCCCGCGGGGGGGGGGGGGGGGGGGGGGGGGTACGCAGATATTATTTGATGGGTGTGATGTGATGGACTTGATACGCTAGGCTCTGCTTGCCTGCCCATGTCTCACTCTGTAAATAATACAAGGAACTTGAGTCACTCTTATTTGTGCAAAACACTCTCGACAAGAGCCCGCGAGCGTGATAACGCAGTACACGCGCCGACACCGCAAAACCCACCTCCGTAAGCTCCTCCGATGGACCCCCGTGCGACTCCATGCCCTCCTTCAGCATCCTAAACCCAAAGTACAGGAACAACAGCTGCGGTTCCCGGAGACAGCAGCGTGGCAGTTTCGTATTTTTCCGATTTCGCAACGAGGCAAAAAGGAGAGGGAAGGCGGGGGGGGGCGGGGGCGGAGGGATGTATAAAACCCAGGCAAAATGCAGAAGAGCGAGAGGGAGAGAGAGACACACACACACGTACATTCACGAACAATATCGTCCTCCACCTCCCCCCGCCCATTCCCCCGCGCATGCACAACAAGAGACAGTAGCCTACGGAGGTGTTTTTTCAGGAAACATAGTGGATAAAGAATAGAATCAGTGGGATTTCGGCGGGTATAATGTAGACAGTTCCAAAACACACACACACACAGATCCGGGGAATACCTCAACCTCCCCCATGCCACCCCCTCACGGGGTCCCAGTTTATGGCATTCAGAAGTGCTTTTTGTGTTTTCAACCGCACGACGACTGACGTCTTTTCATTGGTCAACTGGTTAGCGCGGTCGATGCTAATTGTAAACACACGTCCACTAGCCTATGAAAGATGTGCCCACATACCACCACACGCTGATCTAATATGTCTTGCCAAGCGTACGTACCGCGCTCGCGTAGTGCGTATAGGTCCTCGGGAGGATTGCCGGCAGCGCGTAGCCTAGCGCGGCGGAGAGCACCGTCATGACGGCCAGCGCGCCTACGGCCCCGCCGAAGACGGCGAGGCGTGGGTGGCTCATCGCCATGATCGCCGCTATGAAGAAACTGCGGCAGCAGCAGCAGTAGCAGTAGCAGCATGGGCAGTAGTAGCAGCATCAAGCAGCAGCAGCAGCAGCATCATCAAGCAGTAGCAGCGGCAGCAGCATCAAGCAATAGCAGCGGCAGCAGCAGCATCAAGCAGTAGCAGCAGCAGCATCAAGCAGTAGCAGCAGCAGCATCAAGCAGTAGCAGCGGCGGCATCAAGCAGTAGCAGCGGCAGCAGAAGTAGTAGACGCACCAGCAGCATCCAGGCAGTATCGTATCTAGAGCCCCACCATGAAAGGGCCATGAAAAACGTGCAGGTGCAATATAGATCTCTTGAATACATCATCCTATACGCTTATCGTACGCGTCAACCGCGCGAGGGAATCACGTGTCGCATCATCTATCCCTACACGTAAGACATTCATTCGTCAAGCCTGCGAAGAAAGAACCACGTGTCGGGGTGAGTGTTGTGTTCATGTCCCAAACGCTTCGTTTTCTCGGCCGCGGGGACCCCAAGTGAACGGACACATTTGCACCGCTCGTGCAAGCAGAGTGGGTGTCCAATACAGCCGTGCATGCCGCAGTCGTTAGAATTGACCTCTCATGCCCATAAAGCCGGTGTGTGTGTGTTTGTGTGTGTACTCATAGTCGTGCATGCCGTGGTCGTGAGACCATTGACCTCGCATCCCTACAAAGCCGGGACGGAGCACGCCGGGTTCTCACCGGACCAGGCTCTAACATCACCAAGCGCGAGGCGCCGTGAGGTAGTCGGCGAGTCGCATGAAGGGTGCGCTGCATCCTGCTAAGGGTGTTCGGCATCTTGTGCTTACTTCCTTGCGTACGGATGACAGCTGCGTATGACATAATTTGTTTCCTGGTGCTTTCATTTCCAGAGACAGTTGTAAGCGCTGTGTAACTGCCTCGAAGATGCTTGACTATTTAACACAACGTGGTGCGATCATCCCCCTTGCGCGGAGTGAGAGTTCTCGACCCCGCACAACATGATCTACTCGACCACCATTATGGTTACCGCAAAAAAAAAAAAAACAGAGGTAAAAACGAAACACGGTAGCCTGGTTGCCGAGTTCACGAAGTGAATTGGCTTGTTTTACAACGTCGTTGCCAAGCGACGAAAACCCAACCCCGAAGCCCGGGAGAGGGGGGGGGCTATTACTACTCACGTCTTGTCTCCGATCTCGGTGGCGATGATCATGGCCACGCTGTTGGCGAACGCCGTCCAGAACCCGACCTGAGGGGGTTCCCCCTCTCCCGCCGATACAGCGTTCTCGTTCTACGGACGGACGGAGGACGACGACAACATCACAGTCAGCAAAGTCGGAGCGTTAAAAGCACGAAAGAGTATTTAGTGTTTGTGGGTTCCCCCTCTCCCGCCGGTCCAGCTTGTTCGTTGTACAGACGGGCGACAAAGTCAAGCACAGCCGTGGCATTAGCGCTAGAGTTTTGTTACGGGTATAGCAGTGTGAGTAGCTGGTCGTTTCACCTTCCACCCCGGGCGTTTTGCGCTTGCGGTTGACTAGGCCGTGCGGCCGCGACAATCAAAGTAGCAGCAGCAGCAGCAGCAGCAGCAGCAGTAGCTCTTGGCGCATCAGCTGTAGCATGGTGTCCATGAGGATGGCTGGATCGTGTTGCGCCGTGAGCGTGGTGACGGAGGGGCCCTGACACAGCAGCGACCCCCGTTTTGGGGGGGGTCTAGCTGCGGCCGGATCCAAGAAATAGCCTCAAGACCAAAAACAATGATTTTTCATTTTCTGCAGGCCATTTCTCGGGTCCGGACGCGCCTAGACCTCCCAAAACGGAGGTCACGGCTGTATCAGGGCCCGCCCGTCACCCCAAGCGGCCACGCTCACGACGCAACATGATCCAGTCATCCTCGTGGACACCTTTTCTAAAGGTGATGCGCCAGACGGCGGTCTCGATTGATTCGCTGGAGGTAATGAAACGCTGAGACCACTGACTAATGGGCAGTCTTGGCACGTCCTCTAGATGGTGTGTGTCCTCTCGATGGTGCACAAATCGGGTTCGGGTTCTTAAAACATTGAAACAAGGAGGACTGGTCCATCCATAAATGCAACTAATTTTTCGTAGATGTAAGCACCGCTGCTGTTGTCAGCAAGCAGGCCAGGCGAAACTCTCGTCGGACTCTTCCGAGATATGCATGACTTCGCTGCATCGTGCCGGGGGGAAATGCCGAACCACGCTTCTGCTTGTCGAGAGCGCGTTTGTGACTTCTGCATCGCTTTGTACGAGACATGATGTACCCGATGTGAATAGCTATAATAGGTTACTGTAGTAGTGCACCACCGCCTTCCCTGATCGCTTTCGCGGCACTGCTGTTGTTGCTGCAAGCTCTCTCTTTCGATCGCGATTCGGACCATTTTTCTCCGGGCGTGATTTTCTTTCTGTCTATCCGTCGCGGACATACAGTAGCCTTTCTGCCGACCACGCCTACCGACTACCTTGGCAACAACTCTTGCGGCCTGGACGCTTCCTTCACTTGTATCGCAGACAGACATGCCTCCGTATATTGGCCGCATCCTGGGACACGCCGCGGGAGAAACATTCCGGTTGCACAGAAACAGAGGCTCCTTTTTCCACAAAAATCCAAGAAGTTGTATACTGAAGTACCTATAGAACAGTACAGGTCGGTCCCTGATTAGTGCCGGTTGAAAAGTGCCGGTGCCCGGTATAGTGTCGGTGTTTTCAGCGGGCAAACACTGAACCGCCAAGTGTCATTCTCAATACTTTGAATAGTGCAGGTCCGGCACAGCAGTAGTACGGTGAATATTCAGGGCACATATCGGCAACAAACAGGACCTCTACTCTGTAGTTAGGACGGTGCATCATCCTACACTAATTTATAGTATACACAAACAAATGTTAAAATACCCTTGTGCTCGACGGGCGGCGGCGATGAAATAACAAGTGCGAGGCCGGACCCGACGCCGACGTTCTTGATGGAGGCCCCGTTGTGCTTCTGCTGTACAGTGGCCCTCCGGAGGGAGTGACACCTCAGTCGGTGCGTTGGGAGAAAGTGGTGCTATTTGTAGTGCCCCAGCTGAAGGCGTGGTGGGAGGAGGCGGGGGCTTTGTCGGTTCGCTGGAGAAGGTGCAGAAGGTATCGACGAAGCTGTTCAGGAGGAGCGAGGTCGCGGTGATCAGCCAGTCCTCCACAGTAACTACTGTGTTGGTACGTACTCTCATTTTCGAGACCTTCTACAGCACGAATCTCTCTTGCAGGTTCGCCCGGCCAGATCAAACCGTCAAACAACAGCAGTTGCAATTCCATCGTGTGGGTGCATACGGTTTCTACTGCCTTCTGTTTGGTCGAATGATGCATACTGGAAAACTCCTGGTACATTGACCGCCCCACGCCGCCAGAAAATGAACAGGAGTCTCCGTTTCTTGACAGCAAGGGGCGGAGAGACAGCAACCCCCATGACCGATTTTCAAGTTTCGATTTGCTCCAGCACCAAGGTTTTGCCAACAACAAAAGCGGCGGTGACTTTGGTACCATGCACCATCGAGGGCTTTCCGTGGACATATGGGGCTCATTCCCCCCCCCGTGGTTGGTTGTGGAGCAATCGAGATTTGAAAGTCGGTCTTTGAGTGGGGGTACCATCTCTTATGTACGGTATGCATGTGTGCATACGGTATATGAACATGCATGCATGTGTAGGACGGCCGCTTTGTCACACGTCGCGCTCGTTGACTTGCCTCCACTGCCGTACAATACTTCAAAAATGAGATATAAATGAAGAGAAGGACATGCAACATACGGGTGCGTGCCAAATTACTCCGCGCACCAGGGAATTGATAGGAGTTTTCGGAGAACTTGAGAGGCCCCTGGTCTGGGTATATGTGGCTTCTCGGCACCACGTGTGTGGAGGGTTGTAGTGAAGGCGTTAGATCAAGAAAACCATTCCAACCAAGCTTCGGGGCTACGTGCGTCGCAGGCATGTGCTGTGCACTTGCGTGTTGGGTCGTCTGTGGGGGGCATATAATTTTGTTCCTTGGCAAAATGAATAAATCACCGAGCAGCTAGGTATGTAGCGTTGGTGGAGGGGAACGGTCAAGAGCCAACAGAACATCGGCGCTACCCATAGCGAGACAAGAGCTACTGCGATCACACGCTACCACCGTCACGCATCATCGTCCACCCTGTGCTCACCATGTCTCCGCTGCTGCTGCCGACTCCCGATTGCGCCATAGTCACGCCCACCAACCCAGCCAACACGGCCGCCACGCGTACTCGCTTGTCCATCTTTACAGCACTGCTGTCTACCCTCCTTCCAGTGCTCCCCTCCCGGTTGCCAGCGAGACCACGCTTTAGGAGGCTCTAGGGGGGGCAGGGCGTGACGGCCGTGCGTGGAATATCGGCCACGAGAGAGAGACGGGTAAAAGAGTGCACTACTGATGAGAACGTAGACGCGAGGGGGTGTGACGCGCACCGCACAGGCTGGAGACCAGCAAAAAAAACAAAACGGAGCGACTTGCAATGTTAATGTTCCGTTTTTCGGTTTTTCCCTGCCCCCGAGTGCAAGGCGGTCGGCGGACGACCACGCCAACCGGAGGCAGCAGCACAGCAAGAAGAAGATCACTCCAGTAAATTTATCAGGGTAACCGAGGTACATCCGTTTTCCCCGAACCAAAGCGACCCAAAGGGTGGGTAGTAGATAAAGGTAGGCGCAAACTTACTTGGGCGACGACTGCGACCGACGCCCCGACGTCCGACGCCCTCGATTCAAATCCCGCAATCCCGCCAAATCCCGCAGCTACTTATTTTCTTATTTTAGCGGTGCGGCACAACCTCGCTCTCCACGGGCTTGCACGCTTGCAGCTGCACCAACTGTCTGTAAGAAAGACGTCCAAAAGGAGCCCCGGTGTCGTGTTGTAGTAGAGCGTACAGTAGTACTGTAGTGTAGCGAGTCGTTCGTGTTGAAAAGACCACGTCACGACTTCCCGTTATGTTCTGATGAGCAAGAATGAGACTGTAGCTTCTTAAGTGTACCTCTGACTATCTAGTATGGTGAATCTGGGCAGCAGCCTCTGCCAGGCCGCGAACGAACCAAATAATAGCGCCCTCAGCGTAGTGGGTTCCTACTAAATCCAGCAGTACAACCAAAAACCATGTGTGGATGGACCGTGTGGTACATCGTAGGTAGGAGTGTGACAACGGACGATCCATGGAAACACAGGTTTCCAAGGTGAATGTTTTCATCCGCAGACACACGGGCAATACTATCACCGACCCTCTGCTAGGCTTTGATGATGTGCTTTCTCCAAGGGCTACAAGAAAACCCTGCAGTACTTCTATTTTGGGCTGGGAATAGCCCTGGTCTAGTCTAGTCGGCCCACCCTACCTGCCTTGGCGTACGCCGAAAAAAGAAGGGTCACGGCAAGGTCGTGTAGAGTTGGGATTTACAATGTGCAATTAATTAATTACACAGGTGGACGTCCACTTCCTTCCCCAAAATGTCGGATGCCCGCGCCCCCTTGTGGAGACCTTGACAAGGTCGAACACCTTGGAGAAGACAACCAAGGCCTCGAAAGGGGAGAAATCGAGGTATTTTTTAGGCCTTGTTTGTCTTCTCCAAGGTGTTCGACCTTGTCAATCAAGGTCTCCACAACAAGGGGGCGAGGGCATCCGACATTTTGGGGAAGGGGGGTCGACCTCCACCTGTGTAGTTCCATTCCTCCTCCAGTCAGCGCAGAAGCACAGTAAGTGTAACAACAACAGCACCCTGACGTTCTAGGGTCACTCACTCACGTACATAGCTGCGAAATACGGAACAAGGGCGTGTTAGTGCACTGCCGCCCTCAGCGGTCTGTGGTGTTGAGACTGGGGACTATGTTATCCCAGGAACAGCTGATAAAAAAGGACCATGTATCGTATATATTCGTCACGCAAGCCCCTCAGGCAAGCTGGTATTCGACACGCAAGTCCCTCAGGCAAGCTGGTATTCAACACGCAAGCCCCTCAGGCAAGTGCCGGGAGCACACCGCCGTGTGCTCCCGGGGGCCCCGCACTTGGACCACAACCGCACACACACATGCCCTCACACCTCACACCCATACCTCCAATACGCGTATCCCCCACAGAGGATGCACAGATCGGACTCATATCCAAGTACCACAAACAGCCCCCCTACTTGATACGATGTACGATCTTGCAACCCTGCACGCGCAATCAGCCAATACAGAAAAACACCCCTTGAGAAAACTTATTCAACAAAACTGGCTACGCATCCAACACAAAGCGTCTCCATCAGTTTATTCACGAACCCAAAGCGTTCGTCTCTGGAAATAATCTCAAACCGTTGACACAAAAGAAGCATCCTCAGAAAGGTACCCAACAATTATTTGTGCTATATCAGAAAGGCGTCGGAACGAAAACGGATATTTCTGGAAAAAACAACTTCCAAAAGAGTTGGCACCAAATCCTCAAACAAAACAAAAACTCAACTTCTTGACCAATCAAAACGAGAATTCGGAAAGCACAATGGCCCCAACCATTAATTGTCAATACATGTCAAACCCTCCAATATAGTGTCCGAGGACCAAATCCTAAACAGCGCGCACCCGCTAATCGGTACCGTCGCTGTTGTCCAAGAAACGATAGAAAATATAAGCAAGCATCCACGCAAACAGCCCCCCTGCTGTCAGCTCCCAAAATTCACCCCGAGCTAATATCTCGATGTCAACAGTCCCCCCTGCTCTGCCGTTCACCTAAAACACAAATAGACAAGGCCAGAAAACGAACCAATTCGATTGCTGCTCACGCCCTCTAGAATCATGGTCATACATGACACCCCCCTCCATGATTTTCGATGCAAGAGCAGCAAAACGTGCGATACGAACCAAAAACATGAAAACACGTTACACACATGGCATCAAACTCCGGAAAAAATCTGGAACTCCAAAAGCCACCGCGCTCCCTGAGCGGCATGCCTTCACGCACGTCAAACAACGCGCTATCATCCCATTTCTTGCGCGCGGCCAAAAACACACCGCAGAGAGCGACCACTTAACTCAGGACCTAACATAAAAAAAAAAAATACGCACACGCCGTGGCACATGTGTGTTCTGCATCAAAGCGCACGGTGCGCTTGCAAGGGAAAAACAGAACAAAAAATATTAATACGAAGCCAAAGGGCGAAGCTAAAACGTCCATGCCTGCTTACAAAACCGAACAAAGTCGCAAACGTTTCACATGTTCTCCCACTTGGCTGTAACAAGGTGAGGTAGTCGCTGTCACCGTGTCCTCCCCGTTCCCGGTTGACTCGAGGGCGCCACCGCTGCTGCCGCCGCTGCCATCGCCGCCGCTGCCGTTCTCCCGCCGCCACGACCGTCATGAGTTCCAGCGCCAACACGGCTGCCCGTAACGTCGCTGCTGCCGCCTCTACCACTACCGCCGTTGTCGCCGCTGCCGTCGACGGGGCTCTGGCCAAAACCGCCGCTGCCGTCTTCTGCTGCCGTCGGAGCTCTGGCCGAAGCCACCACTCCCGTCGCTGCTCCTGCTGCCGCCGGTGTCGCCGCCGGAGCTCTGGCCGGAAGCCGCCACTCCCGTCGCGGCTGCCGCCGTTGCCGCTGCCACTCCCGTTCCTGCCCCTATCGAAGGGGTACGTCACCCCTGGGACCGCCCCCCGTCTCCTCGCGTCACGCAAAGATGTCTTACCGGGGTCGAAGGGGTGCGTCGGGGCTCCAGTCCAGGTTTCATGCAACCCCTAGTCCCCGCCCCCATCGCCACCGTTTTCGTCGCTGCTGCTGCTTCTGCTGCTGCTGCTGCCGTTGCTGCTGCTGCTCACTTCCTCCTCAGTCTTCCCGGGATCAAAAGGGTGCGTCGGGGCTCCACTCCAGGTTTCATGCACCCCCTCGTCGCCGCCCTTGCGGCCGTCTGGACACCCGACGCCAACGCGGCGACCCGGGACGCCGCTGCTGCTGTCGCCGTGCCGTTCCCCCCGTCACCGATGTCGCCGCCGCCGCCGCTGCGGCCGTCTGGACACCCAACGCCAACGCGGCGACCGGGGACGCCGCTGCTGCTTCTGCCGCCGCCGTTCCCCCCGTCACCGATGTCGCTACCGCCGCCGCTGCGGCCGCCGCTGCTCCGGTCATCCATCTCTCCACCATACTTCTCCTCTCCGTCCACACGCACCTCTTGCGTAGAAAATCCTCCAGGGTCAAAAGGGTACGACGCACCTCTCTCGAAACCGCAGATGCCATCGTCTCCGCCGCTGCTGCAGATCAGGCCGCCTCTGCCGGCGCACGCCTCTTGACTGCCCGGCGCCATCGCGGCCACCGGGGACGTCGCTGCGGCTGCCGTCTCCACCGTCCCCGTTGCGGCTACCACCGCCTTGGCCGTCTCGACACCCGGCGCCATCGCGGGCACTGCGGCCGTCTCGATGACCGGCGCCAACGCGGCCACCGGGGACGCCGCTGCTGCTGCAGCCCCCGCCGCCGCTGTTGTCGCCGCTGTCGCTGCGGCCGATTCGATGACCGGCGCCAACGCGGCCACCGGGGGCGTCGCTGCTGCCGCTGTCTCCTCTGCCGCCGTGGTCGCTGCCGCCGCTGCGACCGTCTCGATGCCCGGCGTCAACGCGACCACCGGGGACGTCGCCGCTGCTGCTGTCCCCACCGCCGCCGTTGCTGTCACTGTTGATGAAGGCACAGGTGACGCTGCTGGCTGCTGATTCGGCGACTGGTGGTGTGCATGACATACCGGCACGCTTGCTGCGTGGCGCCATACGACCCGCGAGGAGAATATCCCTCGTTCTCACCGGTAAACGCGGTCACCGGGGACGTCGCCGCTGCTGGCTGCTGATTCGGCGACTGGTGGTGTGCACTCATGACATACCGGCACGCTTGCTGCGTGGCGCCAAACGACCCGCGAGGAGAATATCCCTCGTTCTCGCCGGCAAACTCACCGCCACGCTGCTGCTGATGCAACGAAGAAAATGTGGCAAATCCTCCGTTCCGCTGCGGCTGTGGCGATCGCTGCTGCTGCGGCTGCTGAAATCCACCACGATCGCTGCCGTACACCACGCCTGGCTGCTGCTGGTGGAACGCAGACCCTCTGCCAAACCCGCCATGCCTCCACTGCTGCTGGAACGACTGCTGTACGGGAACACCTTCGCATGACTACTGTTGACCATGCTGCTGTTGTACTCCGAGTCCACCGCCGGCTCCGTACTCCCGCTGCACCTCGTAGAGTTGATGCTGTGGAAGAGACGCAGGAACGGGCGGGTGCTGCACTATCAACCCGAT